TTGTCTCTAAACAGGAAGAAACTTGGCCCAGATAGCTTTACAATATGTTTCCATATTTTCTTATTACATGCTATGTACTGCAGAAGGATAATCCAATATCATTCATGAAATCATTTACTCCTTTCATAATGTAGGGACAGGGGACAAAAGTCTTACATTAAACTGCATCCATTGTAGAACAATGGCAAAAAGTTCTCCTGTCAGACTTCAGAAAACCCTTTACCAAAAATACAATTTTGATCCAAAGAAATGTAACCATTTAAATAATTCTGTCTTTACCATGTACACCAGCCAGTTCTTCAGGTATATAGAAATATGATGTGGATGTTTCCATTTAAAGACATAGTCAAGGGGCTTCCCTGGTGGCTCATTGGTTAAGAATCCATCTGCCAATGCAGGGGACACGGGTTTGAGCCCTGGTCGAGGAGGATCCCACATGCCGTGGAGCCACTAAGCCCATGTGCCTCAACTACTGAGCCTGCGCTCTAGAGCCTGCGTGCCACAACTACTGAGCCCACGTGCGACAACTACTGAAGCCTAGTTGTGGCACGTGCCTAGAGCCCATGCTTCGCAACAAGAGAAGCCACTACAATGAGAAGCCCACGCACCGCAATGAAGAGTAGCCCCAGCTCGCCGCAACCAGCGAAAGCCCGCGCACAGCAATAAAGACCCAACGCAGCCAAAAATAAAAATAAATAAATTAATAAAAATAAGTTTAAAAAAATAGTCAAAATCAATCTTAAAGCAAATACTGAAACAGTGCTGATATTAATGAAAAGTCAATCATATTCTTAAGGGTTATTGAAACCTTTCAAATGATAAGATTAATGATTGCATCATTTTGGTAACACCCCACCACCATATAGCTATTATTTGACTTTAAATGATGTCATTATTGATGATATTTAATTAATGAAATTTTAATTAATTAAAAGACCTTAAGTCTGTTGCTCACCTAAGCTAAATGGCATGAATAAAAAGAAGATGAGATAACTGTAGGAAATGTAGACTTAGAACTATTTTTGCAGTGATGCAGGAACAAAGACAGGATGTGTTTCATCAACCATACTGAGAATTAAATGATCTTGTCCGTAGAAGTGCGAACTAGGAGTAAGACGGTCAACTTAGAAACTTTCCACGTTTTCTCAGAACAGACTGTTTTAACCAAGATTTTTAGTCAAGTAAACATGAAACAAATACCCGAAGAAAGCAATTAAAGAAAGCACATATAAATAAACTGGGCAGTAGCTTGGATATAAAACCAACGAAAAGTCAAGTATGCATTCCCCAAAGCATGCAGTTACACAGATGGGGATAATGCGAGGAAAGGGACTAAGTACAGAGTGAAGCAATTTGAACATATGGCATTCTTAAAGGTTCATGTGAATTGGAGAGCAGGGAGCATTTGGGCTGTAAAGGAGAATAACAGATCACCAACATAATTGGCTGGCTAATGGGATATCTTTGAACAAAGGAACTGTGATCATTATACCTATAGGATAGTATGCATGATAAATAACTTTGTAATGCTTTTTTCTAGAAGAGGAGAATAGAGTAAGTCCCTGCAAGCTCGTATAATAGAAGACATTATCATTCAGTGCTGAGAGATAGTGTCATAGTGGACATCACCTGATGGTGACTGGACACTACCAGAAAGAAGATTGTGAGTTACCAGGAAGGAGACGGGGTTATAGACAACATATGTTGCTTTACTACACATGTTCATCATTCAGTGCTACTTACAAGTGTGGATGGAGGTGAAGATAGTATTTGTTGACTATCCACTCTGTGCTTGGTTCTCTAGGCGTAGGCATCTCATTTAAGCCTTAAAATATCCTTACAATGGAGATATTATTATTACAGCTGAGATTGAGAGAGAAATTAATTCACCTCGGGACTCTCACCTAATATGTATGAAAACTTGGGTTTGAATCAAAACTGTCCGTCTCCCAAGCCTGCCCTCTTTCCTCTACATCCTTTTTCCTTAACAAGTAAAATTTGGGGGCCACCCATGATCACTCATGTGACAGGTGGCCTTTATCTTATTATAATGCTCTTTTTCACCAAGATGAAGCATGGCCATAGGATCCCTCTCTTAGGTGCCCAATAGTCACAGTTGCTGGAATTGAAAATATTTGCTACATGACATTAATTTATCAAGTAGAGAGAAAGCAGTACTCTAGTCTTGAAAATAGAACTTTTCAGACAATGCTATGTGGTTTTAAGGAAAAAAAATCTTAGGCACCAGGTAGAAGTTTAAAAGTGTAATTTCTTCTGGTTTCTTTTATGTTACTTAAATGTTTGCTTCTCATTTATTATAATTCAGTCAGTATTCAGCATGTCTTCTATTTTCTTTCAAACTTGCAGCTTTTTTAAAATTTATTTATTTTATACCGCAGGTTCTTATGAGTCATCAGTTTTATACACATCAGTGTATACATGTCAATCCCAATCTCCCAATTCAGCACATCACCATCCCCCCCCACCACCACTTGCCCGCCTTGTTTGTTCTCTACATCTCTTGCAGCTGTTTTGAGATTCTTTGGTTATAAGATTGGTGTCAAATCACCATATTGGCTAAGGGCAATTCCTCTACTCTGTGACTAATTTACCGTGAAGGACGTAAAGCTAAAGCTTCGGAGACTGTCACTTACTGGAGTTTCTCTACAGGCCCTGGGGTGTTTTTTTTGTTTGTTTTTTTTTTTGTTTTTTTTTTTTTTTGCGTTATGCGGGCCTCTCACTGTTGTGGCCTCTCCCGTTGCGGAGCACAGGCTCCGGACGCGCAGGCTTAGCGGCCATGGCTCACGGGCCCAGTCGCTCCGCGGCATGGGGGATCTTCCCGGACCGGGGCACGAACCCACGTCCCCTGCATCGGCAGGCGGACTCTCAACCACTGCACCACCAGGGGAGCCCGGCCCTGGGTTTTTTGATGTTGGGATATGTGGGAGCTTTCTTCAATTTGTAACTTTTTATGTCCTTTCTCATTCTAAATATTAACTTTTTTACTTAAATTTGTTACTGGAGATCCATTTTCATAAGAGGGGACTCCCCAAATTGTATAAGCCTCTAGCCCTACAAAACCTGGGTTCCCCTTCCCCTCTAGCTGTTATACAGTAGTTATTCATAAAACTAACGTGATTTCTTTGAAAAGCCCAGTTTCTATGTTTTTTGGATCTTTTGGTCCATTTAAAATCTGTGATGTCAGGTAAGAAAAATTCTGTTCTACCATGGCAGCTAAAATTCTTTTGAAGTGTGCTTTGCGTTTATTTTTGTTAACTATGATTGACCGAGACAATATAAATATCAAAGGAAATATTGCTCCTTTTTTTGACAGTGGAATGAAAATAAGATTAGAAGGATCAAGATATACTATTTAAAATACTGAGAATACTTTATGAAACATACTCTAATCCCTAGCTGTACATATTGGCTTGAGATTTATTTGTTTGTATATTTTACTTGCTGATTTTCAATTTCTTCATGAATATAAAAGCCCTTTGGGAAGAAGGAACTCTGTCCGCTTATTCTCCAGAGGATCTCCACCACTTAGAAAAGGGCCTGGCACATGGGAAATGGGAAATAAATATCTGCTGAATGAATGACTGAATAAATGATTGTCATGTGCTAAAAATCCCCAAATATACTGATAACTGGAAGTCGTCACTAAAAAAAGACCCAATTGATCAAGCTTTCAGAAGTATTCAGGCATTCACAAAATTATACTAATTTTTACTCAACACTCATCACTTGTATACACCAAGTTTCAGCCAGATGTTATTTAAAGTATCTGAATTATAGACCCTTGAAAGCTGGGTTTGTAATGGAAATGCTGACAGCCACTTAACCAGATAATACCACTAGTTCACTTGGTGTGTATATATAGTGTCACTGCTAATATGGCTGCGCCATCTGTTCTGAGAGTTGGAAAGATCTGAGCTTCAAACTACTGGTTTTAAAAAAAACCCTGCCAGATAGATTGGATCCTAAAAGGTGAAGCAATGAAATGACACTTTAATTACATTGCTTTGGTGTACCTAAGTGCAAACAGTGCGCCATGAAAGAGATGATTGGGAAACGGCATGTCACCTTGAAACTCGTCAGGCATTTTTGTTTACAGTTCTGTTCCTGCTAGGCAAAGTAGGAGAACATTTTACACTCCTTATCATTTTTTTAACAGCCTAATAATAGTGCAGGTGTGTGGTCAACAAGGTATAGTGAAAATATGTTTTTTAAGTGTCTAATGGCTGTGCCTCTGCTGACTCTTAACTTGAAGAGAAAGGTTAGAGAAACTCCAGATGGCCATCACCAACTCTGCAGCAATGGCGTTCCCTAATTACTGACACTTGACGAGTTTCCCCATCCCCCTCCTCCCCAGAATGTAGGCTTTACAGGCACCAGAAATGAATTCTTAACACCTGTGTTACCAGGGCTGGCAGCCTGGGAGATATTCCCTCATGTCTTACAGCTGAATGCCTGGGAGAGCCATTCCTTTACCCTCCCAACTTCTTAGCTGTTTGGTAACAGAAAAATAATGACAAATACACCGACTGGAAAACCTCAGAGGTCACAAGGTAAGAATCGCCATTCTCTCACAATAGCTGTTGAGTGTCAGATGGACCTGGGCTGCTTCTGCCTAAATAGCATTGCCTGTCCGATTTACCAATATATGTAGCCAAAGATGGGAAGTCCATTTTCAAGGAGCCCTTTTAGTGGTCTCCTCACAATCTGTTTATAGTTTCCTGGATAGCCTAAACTTGACCCTCGCTAGAAACTTCTCCACTCACTACTACAGGCTTCTACTCTGTGCTTTTACTACATGTTTTCACAATTTCGTAAGAACAAGTATCATGTCACGTGTCTCTTGTTCTCCCTTAGCTTTCATTAATTTCACCATTTCCAGATCTTCACTCTGAAAATTGCTAAGTGGAGCTCCTGGAAGGGCACATAAGAGCAGGAACAGACAGATGAGGGAAGAGTTCACAATTTTGAGAAACCTGTGCTGTTTTTGAACATTTTATTATGATTCAGGAAATGCTTATGAAATTTAAAGCACTTTCATAGCATACTAATATCTGGTAGAGATAGGGAAAAAAGTATTAAATGTTATATACAATGTGAATTAAAATACAAATTAAGGTACATCAACTATTTTCAATAAAAATTAATTTAAAACTATAAATAGAGACACTTCTGAAGGAAAAAAATTAAGGAAATAATAGTAAATGTGTTGTCTCATCATTAAGTCATTCATTCGTCAAACAGTTTACATTTACCACGTGCTAGTCTGTGTTCTAAGTGATGGAGATACTTTGGAGAACAGTTTTTTTCTCTTTATAAGGCTTATATATTTTAGAAGAAGATGGAAAATCAACAAATAAATATACAAATCAAGCTCAAGCCAATATATATAAAGATTAGGACATATTTCATAAAGTAGTCTCAATATTTTAGATAGTGTTTCTTGATCCTTCTAATCTTATTTTCATCCCACTGTCAAAAGAAATTCACTTAATTACATGAAATCAGCAATATATAGTGGTGAAAAAGTTATTTGGCAAAGTGGTGTGCTGTTCTAGAAAAATTACAATTTTGGGATTGTGTAATGGGTATTCAGTTCCTGGTTTACTACTAACTGTGTAACTTCGGGCAAGTTACTTCACTTCTCCTATGATCAGTTTAGTCCCCTGTAAAATGATGCTAATAGTAGTACCTCCTGTGGGTTATGAAAAGTTAATGAAACACCACATAATAAATATAATTAGCACTGTTGCATGTTATATATGAAAGTTGTCAGTAGAGTAAATCCTAAGAATTCTCATCACAAGGAAAAATATTTTTGTACCTATATAATAGACGTTCAGTAAACTTATTGTGATAATCATTTCATGATGTACGTGTTACCGAGCAAAGGGCTTGCTTTCCGACGTGCGTAGAAGCCAATACTATAGCATCTGCTTTTGAGAAAAGAAAAAGCTCTATTGCAAGGTCAACCAGCAAGGAGACAGGAGGGCACGGCTCTAATGAGCTTCTCTGATGGGGGGGTTCCATCAAACTTCTATGAGTTAGGGGAGGATAGGTATTTGGAAGCGCTGGGGTGCAAGTTTCGATTGGAAGGCTTTGGAACCTGGCCATATATGGTAAAGTATGGGGAAGGGGCTTCAGCATGGGATCTTGGACAATGGACCCTTCCCTTCTGAAAGGGTTCCGTGTGTTGTTTGAAGTCAAAATTTTCTCGTCTGTGCCTGCTTCGGCTGCATGACTTGCGGTTGTTCTGCTGTCTCAGAGAAACAGTTCAGTATCTTGTTAGAAACAGGATAGGGCCAGTTTCGGGCTAGTTCTGTGGTTACAAATGGAAGTCAAATCATTATGCTGTACACACTGAACTTATATAGTACCATATATGTCAGTTACATCTCAGTAAAACTGGAAGAAATAAAAATTAAAAAATAACAGTTAATGAAGTAATGTACATATAGACTATTCAGAAAAGTGTCTGTCACAGAGCAAGCACTTAGTTAAATTTAGCTATTTTTTGTTGTAGCTTAAATTTACAAGTAAAACATCCTTACCTCGAAAAACTTCACAAGAAAACGTAGATATTAAATAACTACCAAAACTTTTTTCTCCTATGGTAATAATTATATTTAGGAATAGAATAATTTGAGGTCAAAACTTTTTTCGTCAGTGACTGCAGTGCCTCAAGTGAAGGTGACATCGACTAGCACAGACTGCAGTGACAGTGGCGGACTTTCTGCTCAAGCTCTTTTTTTCTTGACAGGAGTCAGCCCCCTGCTAACACCTGAATTGCAGTCTGTAGGCATAATCCTACCAAAACAATCTGTTCAAGGAGACTGTGGTTTATAATGCAGTGGCACATCAGCCTTTACTCTGACTTTGAAATTCCTGATCGCCAAACATAATGGACTTTCACATTTGAAAATACACCAGTTTGGAGGGGGAGCTATTTTCCCTGATTTTAGCAATTGGAAATGCAGCTTTTGATATCCATAGTGTCTTTTTAGTTGCTTTTTTAATCTGACAGCTGTTGGCTCCATTACCAGAGAAAGTGTCCTTACAAACACTAAACATGAGATCTACCCTTTTAACAATATTTTCAGTCCACAATACAATACTGTTAACTATATGCAGTGTGTTGGACAGCAGATCGCTAGAACTTATTTCTCTGTATATCTATCTGAAAGGTTATACCTGTTAAACAGTAGCTCTCCCTTTCCCCTCTCCTCCCAGCCCCTGGCAACTGTTACTGAAATTTGGCCTCTGTACACCGTTGCAGGATTAAATCTCAGAGACAGTTTTGGGTGGAGTAGAAAGAAATAGCTTTACTGCTTTGCCAGGCAAAGGGGGCCACAGCAGGCTACTGTGCTCAAGACTGTGTGTCCTGCCCTGGAGCGGGTAGTGAGGAGTCTTACAGTGCTCAAGGAGCAGGGCGTGATCAGCTCGTGGACATTCTTCTGACTGGTTGATGGTGAGGTAATGGGGACTCAGCATCATCAGACTTCTGGTTCCAGCCGGTCTGGGGTCTCCGTGCTTGTGGGCAGCATACCGTTAACTTCTTTCACCTTGGGGGGTGGGTTTCAGTATCTGTAAAACAGCTCAGAGGACATGGCTCAGAATATTACCTATAGTTCTTGGGGAAGAACTAAAGGTCCTTGACTTTGTTTCATGGCTAAAGAATTATTACTTTGTCTTGCTTGACTGTTTCCCTTTCTTTCTGCATTTTCTCACTTCTCTGATTAAATTTTATTCGGCGACTAAAGTTCTTCCCCAAACCAAAAGGCAGGCGGAGGACATAGGAGGGGGTCTATTCTGGGAAAGTCTCATAGTGCCCTGCTCGGTTACACAACCCATCAGTCTACTCTCTGTTTCTGTAAGTTTGACTATGGATTTTAGATTCCTCATATAAGTGGAATCATGCAGTATTTGTCCTTCTGTGTCTGTCCTATTCAGTACTTCACTTATCGTAATGTCTTCCAGGTCCATCCGTGTTATCACAAATGGTAGCATTTTCTTCTTTTTGAAATGTTGAGTAACATTCCATTGTATGCATACACCCCATTTTCTTGTCCATTCATCTACTAATGGACATTTAGGTTGTTTCCACCTCTTGGCTATTGTGAATAATGGTGCAATGAATCTGATCTAAATTCTTTTGGATATATACCCAGAAGTGGGATTCCTGGAGCATGCGGTAGTTCTATTTTTAACTTTTGGAGGAAACGCTATACTGTTTTCCATTGTGGCTTTCCCAGTTTACATTCCCACCAACAGCATGCAACCTTCCTCTGTTTGATGTCTTGAAACTTTGTATCTGTTGCCTCATTAAGCAGTTTCAAAAATGAAAACTAAGGTGTCATAGAATTCACAGGCAGCAGTTCTAATACCTGAAGTTTCTTTCTTCCATCTACCAAAATTCATCATCATTCAAACTAATTCCTGAGAATGGCCCATTAATAATTTTTCTCTTTATAGCTATTTTGTAATTATCCTTAGGCTTTTGGACAGCAGTTATGAAGGAATAGGGAAAGGAACTGGCAACAAGAAAGAAACCAGACCGGCTTCAGCTAACGAAAAAAAAAGAGAAAGGTGGGGGAATGTGCATGGAACATGGAGAAATGCTATGTGAAATCCTGACATCTTTCAGTCTGCCATCTCAGTATAAACTTGCAGGAGTTTGGAAATTATGCCTGCAATAACTCAAATTGTTAACATCAATTTTGAGGATGACTCGAAGCCCCTGGAAACATAAAAGAATTGACGAGAAAAGACATGGTTTATCAGCCACCTTTTTAATGAAGGGAGGAATGGGAGAGTTAGGCTTAAAAACTGCTGCTTTCCGCATACATTGTCTCTAGGGTTAGCTACAGTTTTTTTTTTGTTTTTTTGTTTTTTTTGCTGTACGCGGGCCTCTCACTGTCGTGGCCTCTCCCGACGCGCAGGCTCAGCGGCCATGGCTCACGGGCCCAGCCGCTCAGCGCCATGTGGGATCTTCCCGGACCGGGGCACGAACCCGTGTCCCCTGCATCGGCAGGCAGACTCTCAACCACTGCGCCACCAGGGAAGCCCTTAGCTACGATTTTGTATGAGACAGTACTTATCCTTGCTCTCAGAGTTCCCAGTAGGGAAGAGCAGTAGCTAGCTCAAAACACCACTCCTCAGAGCCTTTCAGACCAACTATTAAAGGATGATTCTAGGAAATCCATTTGAACACACGGGCACACACAAATTAAAAGCTGACCAGTAGGGCTTCCCTGGTGGTGCAGTGGTTAAGAATCCACCTGCCAATGCAGGGGACACGGGTTCAAGCCCTGGTCTGGGAAGATCCCACATGCCGTGGAACAGCTAAGTCCATGCGCCACAACTACTGAGCCCGAGTGCCACAACTACTGAAGCCAGTGCGCCTAGATAGAGCCTGTGCTCCGCAACAAAAGAAGCCACTGCAATGAGAAGCCCGTGCACTGCAACGAAGAGTAGCCCCTGCTCTCCACAACTAGAGAAAGCCCGCATGCAGCAACGAAGACCCAACGCAGCCAAAAATAAATTAAATAAATAAATTTTTAAAAAGCGGACTCGTATTTTACCATGTTTCTCTGCATTGCTTGGTTTTGTAACCATCGTTTCTCTCAATATTTTACATTGTATTTTAATTTTTAAGAATTTTTAAAGTCTTGGTACTTGGTGATACACAAATAAGAAGTAAAATTCAAAGGATATAATAGCTGTCCAAATGGTTTTCCTCTCACTCCTATTGCCTGCTCACTCAGTTCTTTTCTGGAGTGGCAAACAATATTCCGAATGTCGTATGTTTTCTTCCAAAGATATGATTGAATTTTCATGTGTGTGTGTGTGTGTGTGTGTGTGTGTGTGTGTGTGTGTATAGTCATATTTCTTTCTCAGAAAAGATGGCATACTGTAAACACTGCTCTGTGCCTTTTTAAATTTTTTTATTTTAAAATTTTTTTTTTGCGGTACGTGGGTCTCTCACTGTTGTGGCCTCTCCCGTTGCGGAGCACAGGCTCCGGACGCGCAGGCTCAGCGGCCATGGCTCACGGGCCTAGCTACTCCGCGGCATGTGGGATCTTCCCGGACCGGGGCACGAACCCGTGTCCCCTGCATCGGCAGGCGGCCTCTCAACCACTGCGCCACCAGGGAAGCCCCTCCCCCCACCCCGGTACCTTTTTTTAAATCCCCAAACTATATCTCAAAGAATGTTTCATTTCATAATATATGGAGCTGCCTCATTTAAACACAGTGTAAAATCCCATTGCACAAATGTAGCACAATTTATATCTCCAGTCATTTATTAATATGCAATTAGGTTCTTTGAATTTAAACACTTTTCATTTTATTAAATTTATTGTAATTTATTATACTTGTGACACATTAACAATAAACACTTATCTTAAACTGCCATTCAGATCTATTATCTCTACTTCTTCAAACTATTCATCCTTTCAGTTTTTATGATGGCTTAGTTTCCTTGAAAGATTTATAATTTTTAACTATGTACTTGAGTTGGATTTTTATTTTTCTCTGTAATTTCTCCTTGTTCTTGACTGTAGAGGCATTCCAATGCAGGATTTTTTGGTTATATCGGTATAAGTCCACAATGCTGGACTAATTATCACGGTAATTATCACACTAATTATCACGGTAATCACGGTGTGATTTCCCACCCTCAGAGACCAAGTGCAAACCCACTCCTATGCATAACAAAGGCTTAGGTTTCTAGTTTCTCCAGGGTGATTTTTTCCTACCCAAAGTGATCAGCCCAGTTACCGTCCTTAATCTCCATCCGGGGTATGAGTTACCAGTTTAAATAATGGGACAGCTCTTCCAGGCTCTGCATTTTAAGCAAGCATTTATTTTTAAGCAAGCATGAGATTACAGATGTGGCTATTTTTTTTAATTATTATTTTACTCTTTTATTTATTTTTGGCTGTGTCGGGTCTTAGTTGTGGCTGTGTGGATCTTTCACTGCGGCATGCAGGATCTTTCATTGCGGCGCACTGGCTTCTCTCTAGTTGTGGTGTGAGGGCTCCAGAGCACGTGGGCTCTGTACTTTGCGTCAGGTGGGCTCTCTAGTTGAGGCCTGCAGGTTTAGTTGCCCCTGGGCATGTGGGATCTTAGTTCCTGGACCAGGGATCGAACCCACATCCCCTCATTGGGAGGCAGATTCTTTACCACTGGACCACCAGGGAAGTCCCCAGATGTTGCTGTTTTTGATACTTTTTTTTTTTGGCCACGCGGCATGTGGGATCTTGGTTCCCCGACTAAGGATCAAACCCGTGCCCCCTGCAGTGGAAGCGCAGAGCCTTAACCGCTGGAGCACCAGGGAATTCCCGATACTTTTTATCAGATTAAACAAATTTCCTTCTATTCTTGGTTTGCTCAGAGATTTTTATTAGGTGCTGAATTTTATAAAATTCTTGTATCTGAAAAGATATTTTTCTCTTATATTCTGTTAATGTGGTAAATTATATTGACAGATCTTATGTTAAGACAATCTTGCTTCTTTGAAATAAAACCAACTTGTGATGTATAATTCTTTTAAAATGTTACTGGATTTCATTTGCTAATGTCTTGTTGAGGATTTCTGTTTCTATGTTCAGATTGGCCTGTAAATTTCTTTCTTGTAATGTTTTGGTCAGATTTTCGTACCATAGTTATTCTGGCCTCATGAAACAAGAGATTCATTCACATTCTCCCCCTGACCTTGGGAACGTTTGTGTATGATTTTTGTTACTGCCTACTGAAATATTTAGAAGAATGCAGTGAAGAGGCTATCTCATCCTGATATTTTCTTAAAGTATTTTAAATTATGGGTTCACTTTAACAGAAATAAACCATTATATATGTATATACAACTTCTTTTTCAGAATGTTGGGGTTTTTTCCTGTGCCAAGTTGGGCAAGTTGTGTTTTTCAGTGAATTTATACATTTCATTACATCTAAAATTTTAAATTTAATCATATGCAGTTATTCGTAACATTCTCTTATTTTGAAATACCTCTACTGGGTATGTGTGATATGCCAGTGATTTCTGATACTGGTAATTTGTGCCTTTTCTTTTTTGAATCATCATACTTTTGAGATTCTAAAGAACCATGTTTGTTGATTGGTTTATTTCTCTTTATCTGTTTTGCCTTACCTATTTTGAAACTGTTATTAGATTCTTCTAAATTTAGAATCATATCTCCTGATAGACTGGCTCTCTTATCGTTATGAGAAGTCCCTCTTTGCCTCTAGTCTTCAGTTTTGCCTTGAAGTCTATTTTGACCGAAATATTGTTACATCAATTTTCTTTTAGATAGTGTTTAAGTAGTCAATCTTCTTGAATCTTTTCACCTTGAATTTTTGTATAATTGTTTATTTAAATTAAGACTTTATTTTTCACAGCAATTTTAGGTACACAGCAAAATTGAGGAGAAGGTACAGAGATTTTCTTTACAACTCCTGCCCCGAAACATGCACAACCTCCTTTATTATCAACATCATTTTTACCAAGGATGAACCTATGATGACACATCATAATCACGCAAGTCCATAGTTTACATTATAGTTCACTCTTGGTATTGTACATTATATGAGTTTGAGCAAATGTATAATGACATGTATCCATCATTATGGTATCATACAGCATATTTTCATTGCTTTAAAAATCCTCTGTGCTCTACCTATTCATCCCTCCCTTACCCCAGGCCCTGGCAGCTACTGATCTTTTCACTGTCTCTACAGTTTTGCTTTTTCCAGAATGTCATATACTCGCAGTCATAAACTATGTAGACTTTTCAGATTGGTTTCTTCCACTTAGTAATATAAATTTATTGTTCCTCCATGTCTTGTTATGGCTTAATAAGTCACTTCTTTTTAGCACTGAGTAATATTATTGTCTGGATGTACCACAATTTATTTATCCATTCACCTACTGAAGGACATCTTGATTGCTTCTAAGTTTTGACGATTATGAATAGAGCTGTTGTAAACATCCACATGCAGGTACATGCATCCACATCCACATCCACATGCATCCACATCCACATCCACATAAGCTTTTAATTCCTTTGGGTAAATACCAAGGTGTGCAATTGCTGGATCTTATGGTAAGACTATGTTTAGGTTTTGTAAGAAACTGCCAAACTGACTTCCAAAGTGGCTGTACCATTTTCTATACCAGCC